TTAAAAGAGAGCAACTAGGAAGCATAAAGGTAGAATTGTTTTGTCTGTTGGGAGAGCTAAGCAGCAAGCATACAAAAATAGAGGGATTTGAAAATCAATGAGGTTTAAGTATGAGTAAATTTTGAAATAAAGTCTTTATAAGAGAAAATAAATAATTTAAAAAATAATAAAATTTATCTTTTAAAGTTAAATTTTTTTTATCTTGTTTAAAAAAATTATTTATGAGATTTTTTAAAAAAAACGGAGAATCATAAATTATTTCTAATTTATGAAATAAGTTTTATTATGTTCTATACTTAAATTTTTTTTCTTTGAGAACTTGTCTATAAATTTACTCAAATGCTCCAGTCCAATATACTTTGTTAGGAAATATGCTTGCAAATTTATGACAACAGTTTAGTACTCTTTATATTTATTTATTTTCCATTATAGTACCAACAAAAATTATGTATATGAGGTGGACCCAAGTGACCTTGTCTGTTTGCTGAGGTTAAGAGAAGGAGCATGTGGATCACAAAGTGTGCACATGCACTTGACCATGTGAAGGGAAAGGGAAGGACAAGTATCGGAAATTTGAGACATGTCCTGTATTTGTAAGCCTAATACCAAATGTCTTGGTATATACATTGATGTTGATCATGGTGTGTTTCTTGTCATTGTGTGCTGCAAACTAAAATATCATCTTCCACTCAACTAAATAAAAAAAAAGGCTTGTTATGCTCCAAAACTGCTCGTTGAAAGTGTTTTGGCTTTTCAGCAGAGTAGGCCACCAACCTTTTTTTTTCTTTCTTTCTCTTCCAGCAAAATCTTTATCCCTTTTGGATTTATGCATGCTCACCTGATCCAAGGTACCTAAAAAACAAATAATAGACCCTTTACCAAATCAAACTAATCTTGTAAATTTGGGGAGGGAAGAAAAGGTTGGGTACAAGGTCATGTATGATTGTTCCTCACATAGCATTTCTACCAAAGATTCTATATATACACCATGATTGGATGCAGCATGATTGGTTTTGACTGCTTTTTATTCTTCGGTAGATTTCATCTTTGACTCCTTCACCGGTTTACCTATCTTTCCTTTTTCAAGTACTTTGTTTCCAACTTTGTGGAATGCCTTCAAATGAAAATTTGTACCGTGACATCGTTTCCAACTATAAGGAATCCTTATGAAGAACTCTTTTTTTTTTCTTATGTTGTTGTTATTAACTACGAGCCTAGAATAAAATTCTAATTAGGTTTCCACCACCAAGAAAAAAATGATTAGGTCCACTAGTGGGAAAGGCAATATGAAGAGCCTAGCTTTAACTTTCAAAATGTAGATTAAACGGTTGCCGTTAGCATTGTAAATTGGGAGGTACATGAAATTAGCTAAAAGGAAGATACCATATTTTTTATTCATAATGAGTATGCTTCATGTGAACAAACATCCATAATTCCCTCAAACTTTGAGATTGAATCTGGGACTTTTTTCATTGTTGTCTAGTCTTCTTGCCATGAGTTCAGGCCAAAATACCTGCCCAACACGGTGATGAATTCTATATAGTCATGAAATCAAGATCACTCTTTAGAACTAGTCTAAAAAAATATTTTCCACTGTTTCTGACGTGAGAAATTCACTTCAGTTATAAAATATACACTTAAAAATAGCAGTAATGATGACAACTCAAAGTGCCATCATGCGTCCAATTCAAGCATGGACTCATCCACCGTCTAAGTAACTAAACTAATCAGCAGGAATTCCTATATAATAGATGCCATAAAGCATTTTATCCTTTGGTTCATTCTCTGTTCATCTCAGATAGGGAAAGTAAATTTGACCCCAGTTTAGTAATTGTTGGACTTGCATATGTACGCTAAAATGAGGAATGTGGAGGGTCAGGTAAACCTTAAAGTGCTACTCCATGTCACAAGATTCAAACTGTTAATAATGGGAAACTCACTAAGATGATATGATTTAACTAACTTTACTGACTCAAAAGTGAAACAAAATAATGAGACTAAAACAACTTTATTATTTGATGGATGTGGGGAACAAAATCAATTCCAAAGCAGGTGAACAATCATGAAGTTTCACTGATAGAGATGGGACACCGAAACACACAAACCCCCCACAAATTCTTGAACCTTGTGAGGCCAGAATACAAGAATACCCTGAAATAAATCTAAAATTTAAACTAATAGCTAGAAACAGACTATATTTCTAACTGTTATACTTGAATATATATCAAATATTGGAAGTATGGAAATAAAATAAATCTAGAAACCATCAGTCACAGTTTTGTAATCCCAGTAGGTCAAGTTGAGCATGTGATTTTGTTCATTTTATCCGGTGCAAAATAAAATCTTACCAGTCACCAAGAAAAAGGAAAATTTAAAAATCATGTCAATTGGCCAGCTGATACTCAATTTTGGATAGAATATAATAATAATCACCTTATAATTTTGCTGTTGTTGGTTGCTCTAGACCACACAACAGCTTCGTGAGCAATTACATTAAAGCTTAATTATTGTGAGTTTTGAGTTGCACTTGTGACAGCTCTAGAATTGTCTAATAATTGTGTTCAACTGAACTGAATAAAATCTGAAGTTAATGAATCTTTAGCTGACATGAAGTTATCAAAGATGATTTGGGTGGTATATAATAAATTTCACACAGCTGAAAGTTGATTAAGTTTGCAGTAGATGTGGCATGAAAACGACATATTCCCTGTTGAAATACATGGATGTAAAAATCCATACCTATCGAACGATTTTTCACAAACTGAAAACAATGCCTCCTTTTCAGGATTACTAAACTGATTCAGTGATTTTGAAACCACTATCGTTTTCCTGTTTGTGTTTAATCACCATCAAAGTTTCTTGACACACAATCCCTTCAACTGAAGCAGCACAGCAACAGAAACAGGAACTAGGATCGCTTTTTTGACACACAAAAGTTTTAAACAGGGCTTTGTTTCTGTTTTAATTTTTAAAAATTATATTTTAAAACAATTTTAAAAAACTGTTATTTAAAAAATGAAAATAAAACTTATGTTAACAAACAAATTTATTTTATTTTTACATTAAAAAAAACTGTTTTTGAAAACAAAAAACAAACATAATACACTTCTAAGTTTCGGTGTAGATGCTTTTTCTCAGCAAAATATAAGAAATAAAAACTCTTTTTAAAATTTAAATCTCTCCATGAAACATAGTAAAATTAGTATCTAATTGTTAATTGACATGTGACCATGATGAATTAAAAAGAATGATTAATATTGATATGCTAAATTCCGCAGGGACCACGAAATTTTTCAAGAAGATGCTATGAGTTTCTAAAAATATTGTGGGTTGATGCATTAGTGGGGAGGAAAAATATGAAAGGAAGTGTGAGCCAGAGAGGTAAGATTTGGAGAAAAGATGAAAATTGAAAGGTTTTTTGAGATACAAATGGGCCCTTAAACAAATCATTAGAACATCCACTCAATCTTATTCAGTGTCCATTCTCTCTAAAAGCAACAATGGCCAACAAAGTAAAAAGATGTTCTATTTTTTATTTTTTTTTCCATATTCCATCCAACACCGCAACACTAATCATATATTTCCCGCAGCATGTCAAAACCATGTTGTTTCACGAACATACCCATGGAGAACAATTGAATATCCTGTGTCATGATTCTCAACGTTGTTTCCTTGGCTGGATCGGGGGTTTGTTCACTCAAAGGGAGAGAAATGATTAAATTAAGTGGGTATATGTTACTCTCACTCTTTGTTTAATAATTTAATATAATTTTTTTTATTAATTAAGTTATTAAATTATAACTATATATTATCTAAATTATTTATATTAAATTTTTTCATAATCGAATATTTATAAAATTTTTATTAAAAAGTCTTTGTTTTTATAAATTTTAAAAGTATATATTAAGTTAATTTTGATGTATATAAATAAAATATTAAATAATTTTTAATCAATCTCAAATTTTGCATATATGATTTATGTTATCAGAATTTTTAATCTAATAGATGATTTTATAATAAATATTATGTTTAGATAAATTTGTAGACACATCTTAATAAAAAAAATTAGGATAAAAAATAAATCAACTTCTTCTATAGAAATTATTAAAATAATTTACCGCTTATTCAATTAAAATTATTAAACAAGAATGAATATAACTTAGGATTTTATGTTGATATAATTTAATCTCTCGTATATATATATATATATATATATATATATATATATATATATAATTTACACATTGAGTCACTTGTTAGATTACCCCTGGCAATTGGGTTAGAATCCCCTGTAACGAAGTGTCTCCACGATTGGCAGTTACTTCAATAGTGCAGAGTGAAAAATAGGACTGCAGGGTGATTGGTTCCCAGAACATAATATGTGAAAGGGGTTATCTTTATTTAGATTGCAGTAGCGACGAGGGACAAGTTATTTTGTTTCAGTATAATCAAATTCAAAGGATTTTGTTTTTTCAAATACTTGTGTCAGAATTAAGAGCAAGGTTCTACAATCTTTGAAATAAAGGGTTCTAGCCAGTTATATTAAAAACCGTGCCCTTTTGACAAACCTGCCTTACATTTCAGACAAGACAGGAAGGAATTGTTTGTTTTAAAGTTAAAAATTAATTCTCAAACCTTTTAATAAAAGAAGCGTGATTTAAATTAATTTGTGTATTACTTTTCATTATATTTAAAGACTCAATTAATTTCATCAAAATTTATTCAACTCAACTTGCTACTAACTCTGCAACTAGAACTGCAAATTGCAGATGTCATTATCTTAATTTAAGAACAAAGAGCCGGGAAACACGCATAATTTCACAGACTACAACATGATTGGCTGTACATAGAACATTGTCCAATGGGTCACTTAGAACATATCTAGGACCTAGAGAAGAGCTAAAACACTTAAATTGTTGTAGAGAATTAGTTAAATTAGCAGAATAAGAATGTGAAGCAGCAAAATGTTCAAAGTCAAAGACTAAAAAGTGTCTCATGAATCAAAGAGCCTGTGGTGGAATGACAGAATAGAGCTCAATGGACCCATAATGAAGAAGCTCCTCTATCATTTGCTCTATGTGATCTTCTTCAAGAGGCTTGAACTGCTGAGAACTTTCCACCTTAACCTTCTTGAAAACCCAATTCCCCTCTGATTCTTGCTCCTCTTGTTGTCTCTTCTGTGGCAACATTGTGTCAGTTTCGCTGCTTTTCATGGCAAAGTTGCTAGTGGAGATGACATTGGGTGAATCCACTCTCTGAGGCTCTGGCAGTGATGGCCTTGTCATTTGCAACGAAGCCATGTAACACCTATGCAGTTTAGCAGTTAAAGTTGCTGAGAGAAGCTTTGAAGATGATGACTGAGACGCATTGGGGTTGTAAGGGAAGTTTGTTCTTGCTCTTGTACCACACATTAACCTCGCTGCTTCATCGTATGCTCTAGCAGCATCCTCAGCAGTTTCAAAAGTACCTAGCCATATCCTAGTTTTCCTGCACACACAAAAAAGGAAACGTTTATTTCATTTTGATTTTGGCAAATGTTAATAAATGTTGTTAAGGAACTACTTAAGAATTTAAAAATAAAACAGTGCTATTAAAAAATTATTATTAACACAATTTTAATAAGAAAATTATATAATGATGCATTGATTGATATGTATCTTGTAATGCAATGCTGTTTAGGAAGACGTGATATGTTTTGTTCATATAATGAATATGCTTCTAAAGGGGCACTTACAATATAGGGTGTCTAATTTCAGAGACCCAAGAGCCCCAATGCCTTTGTCGGACACCTCGGTATCGCTGTTGTGGTCTGGCCATGTTAGGGAAAAGAACTTATTCTTTTCAGAAAGTGTTAGAGAAAATGTTGTGATGGAGAGTTGTGGTACCAACTAGAGGGAGGAGGAGGAGGAAGAGAGGGTGGGTTTTTGTAGTTGAGCTTGTTCTGTATGTGACACTTTTTCTAAACAATCTGGCACCAATTTAAGCATAAGGGGTCCCACAGAGGGATTTTTGAGGTCTTACCTTCTTTTTCTTTACCTATCAGCTATAACTTGGCTGTATTGCAATTTGCAAGCCATGATTATTGATTTAAGTGTTTCAAGAAACAGTTCACATGTCTTTCAATCTATGATGGGTACTATTCTTTCAAAATATATGTATATAGTGTACAGAGATATATTTGTTAATGTTAATTTTTGTTTCTTTGCAACCCTTTTTGACGCCAAGAAAAATCTAATATTCAAAGACTTCGCAGATTCTGCTCATGTGAAAACTGATTGGTAGGGAGCAATTTGTGGATAATGACTAGTTTGTAGTCCTCTCTTGCGCGAAGTTTGAACTACTAGATCTTTGAACATATCATTCCCTAATATATAGAAAGCACAAATGGCCTTAATGAAAATTTCTTTTTAAGCAATTGGAGCCTCTATGTAACTTTTTAACGGATAATATCATATTTTAGACCTTGGTCTCGACCATTTGGCGACCAAGATAAGGACCATTTGTTGCAACTGTTTACCATTGCATTTTCTGCATCTATATGTTAGTATCACTGTATAGTGAATATTTTATAATCGGGTCAATCCCAAAGTTGGGACACATCGGTTTAAGATAATAGATTCTTGGACATTCATAATTACCCTTACATATCAAATCATTTGATCAATTCTCCTTCATTATTATGACCATAGCTCTAACACATGAGAGCAACAAAAACCCTCTCCTCTTTTCTTTATTATCTGTGGGGAGATGAAGGCATCAAAATGACAATGTACTAGTCATGGAAACGAAGTATCGGTACTTGGGACAATTTATAAACAATATGTAGCATTTTACTCAACAAAACAGTGAATTTTTACTAGTGGTATATGTCATGGAGCTTTTGTTAACTATCAAGCAATTAAAGTTTGATAGTTTCGTTTTGAATTGATTTGAAGTGCTTAGGATGCTTGAAAGGGAACCAGAAGCATGTGGGGCTATCTAATTGATATGAGTGAGGATATCAAAAGCAGTATTTCACGATTTTGGTTGTTAACGGCCCATGTTCTTAGCTACTATTCCCCCACGTGCCCATAGTTCATTCACCATGCTACATGGTAAGCTGAATAAATTAGAAAATCATACAAGATATATTTTTTAATGCTTCTCTAAACAAAAATAAAACATTAAAAGTCCAAAAAGATAATTCAAACAGGGAAAAAATTACTAGGTAAATGAAGCAAACACACCACTCTCCTTTCTTCCTGCTGAAAATGAAGCGGTTACTTGTGAATTGTGAGTGGGAATTATTGCATGGTTATTTTTGTCTTATGGGGTACAGAGAAAACCCCTTTTGAATTGTTTTACAATTGAATATGTTCGTGTCATTTAATGAACTAAAGAGGTAATTTTGGTCACACCCATCCCATCTGTGACCAGTTCCATGTGCTAAACTACTAACGGCAAAAACACCTTATTTGAATGGGAAAATGATGGGGTCCATTCTGCAGAGGGTGGTGTTCTCCTGTCTGTGTGCCACGTGTAACAACAATTAAGATGATGGTCAATGTTTCGCTATTATTATTTTCTTCATGAAGAATCACTAGTATTGAAGAATCTTTCTAGCTCAGTTTTAAGTTGGCTTACAAAGCCATCCAAGGATTAAAAGGTAAAACTATTATACTTTCGAGTTTTCAGTACAGTTGTGCTTTTTGTTTCTTTCTAAGCTTAAGGAAAAGAAAAGCAATAACAGTCAGTAACAAGGAAAAGAAAAAAAGGACAGGAAAAAAGAATAGAAGGGGGACAAAAGAACAAGTAGCATGTATGTCAAGGATTGAAAGATTAGGAGCTTTATAAATAACCCTATCTATGTCTCTTATCTTTAATTTTTTTTTAACTGTTATTTTTTAAGGGAAGCTCTATTTTGGTTTCCAGCTAACATCAAATTGATTTGCACAAAAGGTCAAGAAAGTGATATATATAAAACTGGCTAGGACCCACCCCATTCATACGCGTGAAATGGGTCCCAAAACATAACATGGGTGATGAGAGCAAAAGCGATGTTTATCTATTTAATTAATTTGTATTACAAGTATTTTTATCCATGGTGGTTTGATCAATAGCCTAAACCTCCCATGGTTTGTTGCCTTCACCATAATCCTGACATGCATCATGCTCGTGTTATTTGTGGACTCTTTCTTTCCTCACAAAACCACACTGCTTCACATGCCAACAAGAACAATCCATTGAATTTAACTATAAAATAACAAGGTCAGCTGCGTGGCTTGAAGATAAGTACATAACATGGGAATTTCTCAATCAATCTAGTAATAAATTGAACACCTATGTCTTTTTCTGTGTTTATTCCTAACTTGAATACATGCACATATACCATATTCTTGTGTGTCGATTGTTTTTCCTAAGGTCCTATTACTAAATGAATAAATGCCATGATGGAGAATGTTTACTTGTAACCCGCAGCTGATTTCTTTTTCCCTTGTTCCACTCAAAGTATCTCTACTACAACTATGGGTTATGATATTAATCCGGAATCCCCTTATAAGAAAATTCTACAAGTGTCATTTCTAGATGGAGCCTTTACCATTAACCGGGAGTGCAATTTGCTGCACAGTGCACTTAGCGTCTTGTATGTGAAAAATTCTTTTCTTGTACCTAAAGCAATATCAAGTTTCCATTTCTGACCAATGATATGCATCCGTAGAATGTAGATGAGGTTGACAACTAGTTAATACCTAATTACCTACGGAAACAATTTTCATTTATGACATGAACAGGTAGAGATGAAATTTGCAAATGGCCATGTTCAGCTGACCATATAGTTTGTTTCTTATTCACTATTTAATGGTCAAAGAGAAATTTCCACGAGTTTACGTTGCTCCTGCATAAACATATATGCTTTGCAATCTTTAGCCTTGACGCGGTTTCGTGGCAAAGCAAGTAAATTATAAACAGTGTTCCTTTGTGGAAAAAATTAATTTTAAATAGCTGAATATGTACATAAATTATTTTAAACATATATTTTATTAAAAAATATAAAAATAATTTTCCGATTTTAAAACAAATTAAAAAGTTGGAAAGTAAATAACCCCTTAATAGATGATGTGACCCACTCCCTACCCGCCCGCAGTCCATGCGCGCCATTTTGGCTGTCTTTACTCTTTTCAATTTGTGAACTATACATGAAAGGGTCCCATGCAACTTCCATGTGCATGTTCCTATTTTTCCTCCACCAGTAACGTGTATTTGTTCATATAATATAATGCTAGCTCTACCAAACATTTCATTATATAATCATATTATAGAGTTCAACAGCTCCAATATGTATCATACAAAATTTGTTTCAAATCTTTTTCTTTATTGTGGCTTATTACGATGAAAATAGCTTCAATTAAGAAATTCTCTTGTATATTGTTCATGATTTTGTATTCTATCACAAGGTAGCGTTTAACCTAACTTTTTTAGACTTTAATAGCTGTTTTAAAAATAGAAAAAATAAATTTTAAAATTAAAGATGGTTGATATTTTATAATTTTTTAAATTTTAAAAATATTTTTAATTTAAATTTCCTCGAATAATGCGTTCTTAAATTTTGGGACTAGAAATAAAAAAATGATAAGTAGATATTAAATACTCGCGAATAGTATATTCTTTTAGGTATCTTTTCTCTATCAATTTTTTTTTATGAAAAAAATATCGATCCCTTTCAATAAGTCTAAAATAAATTAGGTCAAACACTAGTTAAGTATGGTGACAATGTGCTATAAGAAAATACGTCAAAATAAAATTAATGAAACGTACGTTAATAAATCTTACTGTTATCTTTATATCATTTATTCTTATAACATTATATAAATATATTTTTAGTCGTTATAAGTATGATTAAATTTAATTTAAATCTTAAATTTGTTTAATTAGCTTTGATATTTATAAATTTTACATTAAAAAAACCCTATCACTACTTAATATTTAGTAATGACATGATAATCATCTAGACATATCATAATAATATTTATAAAAACAAACAAATTAATTGCCTCTAATAAAAACTAACACAAGAGAAATCCAATCAATTGCTGATTAGTTTAATAAACTCATTGTTGAAATTTTGTTTGCTTAGTAATAACTTGTTTTATCGTGTTGCATGTAGTTATTTATCCACCCGATTGCAAGGAACTTATGCTAGAGATGTAGTTTTTGTCCCCACATAAGTTAGTCAATATGAAGCACATGCTTAGGGTACTGAACAAAACTGCAAAACGCCAAAATTTGGGGGCAAGCAAACCTCAACCAAACCATTGTGTTGGTTTGTACATTAAATAATATTTCAGTATTTACTATTGGGTTTCTAACTTCTTCAACCTGTCAAAAGCACTATAAAGTTGAGAGATAATTACAAGATTAAGCAGCAATTTTCGTAGCATGTAAAAGGAAATTAATCAACAAGGCTTTGAATTGCCTATGGAAACGGTCTATTCAAATATCCTAAGTAGATTTGGGCAACAGAAACCACGAGATAGTTTCAACTTACCTATTATTAGACAGCTTCTAATAAAATGGCTTTACGTAACGGGAAATTTTTGAAATTAGGAGTAGTAGCGATAATTGAGGAATTCCTAAGACTAAGAAAAGTCCTGTGTAAATTTCCTATTGTCATGTGACTTGATGTGCGTGTGAAGACGAGTCTTTGAAGCCAGCTTTAATTGCTAGCCAATTGAGTGTGGATGTTGATTAATGATTACTAGTATTATTGAAATTGAATGACAACCAAGAAGAGAATCAGACAAGCTTTCTTATTAGATTTGGATTGTACCTGTCACTGTATTTGTATAGAGTTCGCAGCCATTGCGTGCGACGCTGTTTCAGTGAAGAGGTAGAAAAATATATTTAATTTATGTTAAATTTTGAAAACAAATTGTAGATTAAAAAGTTAGGATATGTAAATTAATGTTGCTATCTGTGCCTTATTATACTTAATGATATATGATTAATTTAAATTTTAAAAGGAAAAAAAAGTTAACAGTGACATGCGTAAGTTTTAAGAAAAGTAACAAACAAAATAAGTCATTTTCAAGAAAATAAATTATAAGTTGATATATAAGGATATTTTCAACTCTTTTGTTTTATTAATTCAAATTTCAATTTTTAAAACAATATTAATGATTATACAATTCAAAAAATAATATTGTAAATACTTAAATTATAATACTTTAGGAAAAAATTTTAAAATGTTTTTTCGAGTTGTAATATGTTAAATAAAATGATTTTAAACAAGTGTATTTGATGTAGAAAAAGACATTTATTTAAATCAATGAAAAGGAGTCGTCAGGACAATACCTAATCAATCGCAAGAGTGAACACTTCAATTTAACCTATATTTCAAGAGTAAAAACTTTAATTTAATCTATAAGCGTGAATTTTTTTTAATGGGCAATTTGTAAGTGTGGATAAACAACGTACCATTTGTTACAATTGTACATTTGGATTGTGGTTCTCATAACTTTTCTTCGTATCAATTTATACATTTTGATTCTTACGATGATGATGCATCTATGTAGTTTTTGATTAAAAATATTAAAGTGAATTGAATCATACTAATATTATTAAGTACATTAATTGATGAATATTTTTTTACATGTGTCAAACAACACACACATTAAGAATTTATGTATGGTAAATATTTATTAAAAATCATATAATATTTCAAATTTAATATATTTATAACATTAAATGTTATAATTTTAAAATGATTATTTTATTGTTATTTTTTATGTGATATTTAACCTATAGTAAAAATAATAATCAATTAATACGTATTTGTTTCAATTTAATGCATTGATGATTTTTAAATATTTAGTGCGTTAAATTAAATGCATTTCATTGGGTAGAAAGTATTTATTTGACAACATAGGAGACGACTCTTGTTTCTTTCTTTTAAATTTACAGTAAACCACTCAACTTTGATAAATTTTTGCATGATTCGATATCATAGTAATTCTGACCAATTAATGCTTAACATGTGTTCAACTTGATGAGGGATCAAGCATTGATTAGTTAGAATCACTATGATATTAGACTATATAAATTTTTTTCCTCAACTCCATTAAAAGTGTAAGACACTATAACTATTTAAAAATAAACATAAGAAAACATTGTTTTCAAAACAATTTTATGGTATATTTGTTTCCAAAACTCCATTCTCTCGATTTCTAAGACCTTAGAGTGTGATATTTCAGTGGAGAAAATGTTCAATTTTAGCCAATGAAAATACTTAACAACCGTACTATTAATTCCTTGCCTCTTATTTCTTCTTGTTTCCTTGTCTCTTTTTAAAAAAGTGATAATTATTAAATTATTTGATAAATATCAACTAATATTAAAGAATTAAAATAAGGTATTTTATTTAAAATATTACTAACATATATTAGTTTTTTTAATATAGTTTTAACACAATTAAAAAAAATATTTAACTAGTATCATAAAGTTAACAAGACCCAAATTATTTTTATAGCGGCCTGCGTAAATCATCATAGCAGTTGCAAGTCCAAAAAATGGTTGTATGCCGACTTTTTTTTTTTCAACGAAGGAATATTCATCTTTTTGAAAAGCAGTACACGAAGCCCAAAATCCAGAGCTAAATAAAACAACAGAGGCCCAACTGAAATTTCTTAAGCAATGCTGAATACAAACAAAGCATACTTCGGTTGGGTCTGTTTAAGGAGTTCTTGTAGCGTTGGACTGATCCGAATGGCTTTTGTTAGCTCCAAGCCTCTGACCCCACCCCACGACCCACTACACTCAACCGACCAATTTTTATTTTTATTTTTATTTTTTGGTTTTCATAATAAACAAAATACAATTTAGACAACAAAAAAAAAGACTACAATTTCTATCTTCCTTTTCAACATTTGATGAAATCATAAGCATTATTTCGTTCAATTTTTAATATTTTTTATTGAAAAATCCGTGAAATTTGTAATATTTCGTGCAATCATAAGCATTACAAAATAATTTTTGTAATTTGTTTTGATAAATAGTTTTTTTTTCCTTTAAATTTATCCGTGAAGACTCTTACGAAATAAAATTATCCATTGACACTGCTGATTCTCCCTATATGGAATTTTTTTAATTATTTTTGTACATAAATAAATTTTAATTAAAAAAATGAATCATAATAGGTAGGGCGATATATTTATATATAAACTTTACCTCTTTTTTTAAATTTTAAATATAAATTTGCAAAAAAAGAAAGAAAGAAAATATAGAAAATAGAACGTATAAAAGAAGGGCGAGATAGTGACGAGTGAGTAGGGTTTCGTAAGTAGGGTTTTCGTTTATCGGTGTTTGTTGGGCGCAGTCGAGCATATTGTAGACGAAGCGAAAATGGTACTTACTACTTATCAGTCGAAACCACGATCTTTAATCTCTAAATCGCAATCACTATGATAAAGTTTGTGTTGTTGTTTCGGCATTTGATTTTTTGATTTGGTTGATTTGTTGTATTTTTCAGCCGTCGCACAAAACCTTCAGAATCAAGAAGAAGTTGGCGAAGAAGATGAGGCAGAACAGGCCCATCCCCTACTGGATCCGCATGAGGACCGATAACACTATCAGGTACCTTTTTTTCAGTCGCCGATTAACGATTCCGTCAATTTCACTTCTCTTGCTAACGGTTCTGTTCCCCTTTCAGGTACAACGCCAAGCGCCGTCACTGGCGTCGCACCAAGCTTGGATTCTGAGGTGCTTGCTTTGCCTCGTTTCGGTTTATTCAATTAATTAGGATTTTGGTTTTTTTGAGGCCTAAACGGTGTTTTGAAGTTGTGGTGTTTTTGCATTTATTCGGAGACTATTGTGTAAGGAACTTATTGTAGTTCATACTAATCATGTTCTCTTTGTTTTTAAAGTAATTTGGATTCTTCGCATTCTGCATTATTATTGATTATCTTTTTGTTGCTCTTAATGTTCTTTAACTGATAGGTCACCTTTCTGCTATTATCGTAATATATAGGAGAGATTGTAGTTTTGATTCAACCTTTTATGGGTCGGTTAGTTTGTGAATCGTGATATTTTTTGTCACATATTAATATAGTTTGCTTTCTATTGTTGAAAATTTGAATTTTTTTTGTCTTGGCGATGAATGGCGTCTGTTTTGTCGGCAAACTTGGTTTATCAGAGCAATGCAAAACACTAACAAATTCTGTAGGGTTTTTGTTACAATTGCTATTCTATCGATCCATATTTCATAGAATGACTAGTTTGCGCCTGCGCCTGCTTTCGTCTTGCTGTAAAATGGATTTTGGCTGCCGAGGCTTTTAGCACCTCCTCCTTAGGGCAATACTTTGCGCACGTTTGGGTGTGAACATTTTTACTCGTACTTGAGATTGATACTGTTACATTTCTCTAATTGGATGTTGGCATTTTTACAACTTGCAAAGCTGTTAACCGGTGTTAGAAATCTGGGGTATACAAAGGTTGTTGGTTTTGTTTTATTTACAAGAACTTGAATTTGAGTTCTACTTCTGTCCTTACCCATGGCTTAATAAACATGGGTGATGGGGCGAATTTAGAGAATATTTCAGTCCAGCTTGGGACTCAATTTAGGCTGAAAGGCGTTTACTGCTGGGTGGTTAGTTGAGCTTGCCAGGGTCTCGCTGGAAGTTCCTAGGAACACTTATGCTCATTGAGAAAGTTACTAAAGTTTGGTGCTTTGGCAATAAGAATTCATGTTCATCATGCCTAATTGCTCGTTTCAAGTGCTTTTTCTGCCGATTGAAACATTGAAAGATCAAATTAATATTTGTTTGTTTCAATTGGTACTTGATTGTTGCTTTAATTAAATCATATTTCGATTATGATCAAATCATTTATCTCTGCACAAATCTGTTACCCGTGTCAAGTTATATGATTGAAGAGAACGTAATTAGAACATAGAATAATCTGAAAATGGGATTAAAAAAGGTCAAACTTGAAGTACAATTTTTTAAGGTGATTTTTGTGTAAGTTATTGATCAGCATTAAAGTTTAGTCAAAATAAACCGCAACAATTAAAAAAAGAAGAGGAGGGAATTGGTGAATCTCTCGTTTATCTATCTTATCTGTGGACTAGTTACCTTGTTCGAAATCCCCCAATGCGATTCCCTAATTCGTCTGTCGTCAGCCGAAACTTGGGCTCAGACAGAAAGAACAGAATAAGCCAACCATAGTTTTCTATGACTTCGGATTTGGCATCGCAAAATATATATGATTGGATACGACACGGACTCGAGAAGATGGACCCCAAAAGCTTATTGGTAAAATCTTTGCATCATGTGCTGAATTTCATACACCCAAAACAGGGAATGTAAGACAATTATACTTAACTGCTATATAAACTCAGCCCCCTATACACAATTCAAACCCACCCCCAACAAAAGTAAATCAATTTCTTCTTTACATTTTGTTATTAACAATCTAATGATCTTCTGCCCCGCTCATGCCAAACATCTTTCCGAATAAACCTGTCCATGTAGAAACATTGAGGTTGACACGGGTCTCTGTTTAATTTCGAGATTTGGCATCATCATGACCATAAATTACGTCCTTGATTCACAGTGTTTAGTATGTATCAAATTGCTAGCTACTATCCACGACGGGAATTCACAGGTTGATGAGCACGAGAGGCATCATGCTGTGTCGCTTGTGAAACTCTTAGTGTTCCTCCAAGCTCAATGGGAACAAGAGGAATAAGTGAGTGAAGAACATCTGTGATCAGTGGGCGATAACTCGGCTCTGGTTGCACGCACAACACAGCTACAGCGGCAACCTACAAAATACAAATAATTTGCATTTACTTAGTTCCAAAAAGCACCTAGTACTATCATTGCCAACAACTGGGAAATATATATGTTTTGAGTTTTGACTTGCAGGATCTCAAACCTGGTATAATTGCTTGAGATCCATTGTATCCTTTATCACTGGATCCACAATGTATGGAAGCTTGGACCTGTCTGTGAGCTGTGGCATGGCCTGCAATCATAAATACTCGTGTTACCTTCCACACTTATGGAGTTATGGATGCAAGTGAAACCCAATTGGATTTTTTGACTTGATGGGATTAAAATAGCCCATACCCATGTGACAATAGATTGGCATTGAGCTGGTGTCAGTTTTTCCACTGGCTTCCTTCCTAATAAGAGTTCCAGCAGCACAACCCCAAAAGCATACACATCACTTTTATCACTCACTTTACCTGTAAAATATTGAATTGCAAGTAAATGATTATTGGAGAATTGATCCATATCATCCCCATCTCTAGAACTAATATCTACTTCAAATAAAATGAACTCCTCTCAAAAAACATGTTAGAGTCATTCCCAAATCATCTCAAGTTTTCGAGTGAGTTATTGAAATTTGAGTAAAACCTTCGAAGAATCAACAATATCCAATTCGCTGGCGGAGAAAAAAATATAAAAATAAAGATACATTCTCTTTTATTTAATTAAAGAGCAAATGAAGGGAAAAAATTACTTTAAAAACAAATTTTCACTTTTTTTTTTCTCCTCTCATTTTCCCTCTCCCTTAATTTTTTCTTGCCAACCAACCAAGGGTTAGTTCCCATCTCCCCGATACTAATTTTTTTTTATGGTAAGAGACTGTAACATTTTACTCATAACATAGTCATTTTTTATGTGTAAAGGGGGTACTTATAACAGACGTAACATAGTCAACTTTTTTGTGTAAAGGGGATACTTCAAATAGACGTAACATAGTCAATTTAAAATAATGTATCAATGACAAGTCGTGTCAACTGGGCAGGTATATGACTATATATATACCCAAGATGAGAATTGAGAACAAGATGCACATGTCACGTGTTTCAAACCCACCCTCAACTCATGACGTCAATGAAATCATCAGAGCTAAAGAAACAATTTCTTGGATCTAATTAGTTGAAAGCTTAGCAATACATTAAACATATAGCAACCTGTCAAACCAATGCATAATGGCGTAAAATGATAACAAGTTTAGTTGGCATACCATCTAAAAGATACTCCGGTGCTACGTATCCCAAGGTACCTGATAGCTTAATGTTCTTCTTGCTTTGGGACCCATCAGTTATGGCAAGACCAAAATCAGACAGCTGAATCCACCGCCAATTAGTAGCTTTGGTGAATACAATAAATGACGATAACATTTTATAATAGAAAAGGGAAAATTTTTTATAGTAATTCCAAGATGGTTTTCTTACCTTGGCATTAAAGTTTGCATCTAAAAGAATATTAGAAGATTTCATATCTCTATGGATCACAGCAGGGTAACAATGCTCGTGTAGATATTCTAATCCTCTGGTCAACATACCAGAAAGCGTGTTAACATAATTGCTATTCAGATAGATAACAAAATTTATTGAGGAAGTTCACCTTGCTGTGTCTAGAGCAATCTTCATCCTCATATGCCAAGTCAATGCAGAGCCATGTGATGGTCCTTCAACACAAAATTTTGGAAAAGAATGAGAATAAAATAGTTTTGTAATTGAGAGAATAAGTGTCTTCTACGATGTAAATAAAGCACGTGATGCTATATTTTACCATGTAACTGAGCTTCCAAGGATCCATTTTGCATCAACTCATACACAATAAACTTAGTGTCGCCATCAATGCTACAACCCAGTATCGAAATTATATTTGGATGCTGAATTTTACTTAACAAATCCACCTCGTTCTGCAAATTCACCTGACTAATTAGTACAAGGTAGAAAAAAGAGAATATGAAAACAGAAAAGCAGCAAGCAAATGAATAATTCATTACATCAAATTCTCTCACAGCATTTTGAGTTTCACAGTGTATTTTCTTGACCGCGACATCTAAGTTATGGTCCAACCGAGCCTTGTAAACACGTCCGAAACCACCCTCACCCAAGATGTTAGTTTCCTGAAAATTATTGGTCGTTTTCTCTATTTGATTATAATCAATTATTGGAACGGACCCTTTCATACCAACAACCTTGATGGAACTTAATTTACTCCAAAACGGCACTAAAGAGAGACCCTTCTCTGCATCTTGGCATTCAAAAGCATAACAAAAAAAAAAAGGTCTCAGATATTACCAAAGAAACAATCTGATGAAGAAATCTGAGAAATGGGACAGTGCAAAATAGACAAATACCCGAACTTTGAACATTTTGCTTCCTATTGAATTTTGAATATTTGGTATGATAAATCCAGAAGCATAACAAACTCAAAATGACTGCACCAAATACACTGCCGACAACAACTAGAGCTATTATTACCACTTTCTTGTGCGAATCTTTTTGGTGAAGATCCTCCTGTACCTGAATACCTGATAACATGAAAAGAAAGAAATAATCATAGCTAAACCATTAACTCAGATTAAGTAAATGTGTATGATCCAATTGAAATGATGAGAAGTAAAAAAGAATTTGATGAATAAACATCATTAGGATTAAGTTCTGCTGGATAATTTTGAATTCAAATTTGAAACTGATGAAGCTCAAAGCCATATGAAGAAACGGGTAGCAATTGAAACAGTGAATGGAACAGAGACAAAGGTGGGTAGAACAGGGTAGAGAGAGATGAATAAGTACCTGGAGAGAGAGCAGGCGTGGGGGTAGCGAGTGAAGATGAAGGAACTAGAGGGTCTGCAACGACATGAAACCAAATGCGTTCGTGAAGAAAAAGAAACAGCATGAGAAGCATAAGAAGCTTCATTTTCGTTGCTTCTTTCATGTCTCTAAGAATACATGGAGATAAAGATATGCGGAGGAGAAGGAGGCTTGTGCGGGGGCACCTGAAAAGGAACACACGCACAAGCAGGTGCAGAGAGAGAGAGACAGAGAGAGAGAGAGTACGTGTTATGAATTGTGAAGCCCTGTATCGAAGTTAATGGATGTTTCGGATATTCAAGGTTTAAACTGCTTTTTGGGTCTTCAAAAAAAAAAAAAAAACTTTTTCTTTGTTATCTTTTGAATCTTATTTTCTAATTCTTTTGTTTTTTCTTTCTTTGACATCGCTTTCTCTGAAGAAAAAAGGAAACAACAGTGGACAGAGGAAATTTATTAATGTTATAATGTTAAGATGAAGCGGCAAGCACACGACAAACATGTGCACTTGTTCTTGTCAACTGCTGCAACCAAACATCAACGTTTTCTTTTATTTTCTCTTTATGTTTTGTGATTTTTCTTTCTCAATCTTAGAAGTTTGATGCACCGCCACTCCATAAGCGAAAAAGAAAAGGAAAAGCGTAGCAGTGGTTGGTTGCATCATATCCCATTCCCAAATAATGATCAACAAACAGCTTAGCTTTTAAAATCACAGAATAACTTATTATTTTGGTGGTCGACACCGTTTGGACATTCTATTTGATGCCTTTCTAATCATCATTGCATGCATGCACCTTTTTATATAAATATATAAAAGGATATATTCAAGTAAATAAATTAAATGAATCAAAAATATTGAAAATTAAAAGAATATAATTGTTGTGTTAAAAAATTAAAAGAAACCCAATTTTATGCTTATTTTAAATAATATATTTCATTTCTAATTTTTGTTTGAAAAAAGAAACTGTTTATATAATTAAAAAATTACCCAACATATTAAAACACAAAACTTAATTTATATAATAATTGATTATTAAAAAAAATAATTAGTTCGTTCAAACATGCTACTTGTCTATATTGACTAATTGGACTGTCTTTCTTATAAAATGAGTGTTGTTTTCTAGTATTACGTGGTAATAAAAAATAACAAATCCTTTTAAAAGATAGAAAATTTAATGATTTGTTTTTTTCAATTGTGTAGAAAATATTCTCAATATTTAATTTCTTAAAAAGTGATTGAATTTTGCAGTTACTGAGGTATGATACTAAAAAAAATGTGTAGAAAGAATAATAAATTTGGAATAATAATAATCTTTTTTCTTGTTAATATAAAGGAAATATAATTAAAAATTATTAAAATATAACTTATTTTTAAAAATGGAAAAAGAACAAAAAAATTAGGAATACCGCATAGCTTGTTTTGCAAAAGCGACTAACTAAATTTTGGTAATTTAAAAGAGAATATAAATTAGATAAACTTCTTATATCTTATCTTTATTCAAATGATTACTCATAAAATTTAAACATTCGATAAATCCTTTTATTTAAAATTATCAATTATCTAAGCTTTGTCTATATAAAACTATCACAAAAATTAGTAAAGAGTCTTAGATTTAACATAATAAAAGAATGAAAGTGCTTCAATTCATAAATTGCTTAGATTAAATTTGAACTGCTTCAGCGTTGAATAGAAAGAATTTTCCAACGTGATAAACAACCCCGTCGACCACGCTCGTGATTACCTCTTAGTCTCAACTTGTTTATCATTGAAAGTCATTCCTTACAAAGTCAACTTTGTAAAATGTCTACTGAATGAGAATGAACGACAAATTTTAATAATGCAAAAAAAAAGTAATGTTTTATGGTATAATATTATTGTATATTGTTGTTTAAAAAATATCAATTATCGCCACTATGTTCTTTAAAATATAATTCTTTTATGTTAATAAATTATTACCTAAAAATATGATTTGTTGGGTCCAATATATTTCGGAATGCTTGATGCCTTTATTTTCGGGTGAATGAAATTTTCCATATCAAAACATTTAAATTATCACGACAATGATTAGTTGAAGTAGAAATGAAGTGACGATCTTAGATAAATTTACTGAGAATATTAAAAGTTTAAATTTTAAAATTTTGGAATATTTAATTAAAAATTCAAAACATATTCCGTTTCTTTTACAAGTTAAATAATCACCTAATGCTGTGAACATGATGAAAAATCTCATTATAAAAGGATTGTGTTTCTTCTTATATCCTTTTGCTCTGAAAATAAGGTAAACAGATTATGTTTTTCTCTCTGAAATATATTCAGCCTCACTGACTGATATATAATTGCAAATGCATGTAACACGAGGTGGAGTCAATAGCTTCATCGCTTGATAGCTGCATATTTTTATTGGTAAACAGATTATTTGTTTAACATTTTCTAAGATTATTTAAGGTGTAATTATGTAAATGATTTGATTTAGCACTTATTAAAAAAACCGCGTCATGTATAAGAAAACTTATATCATAAAGTAATTAATATTTAATGAATTTATTTTGATAAAAGTTATTAAAAATTAATTTAAAATGAACTATTCAAAATTATAATGTATTTGATAAGTCTAGTCAAATGTTTTTAATTGTTAATTTAAGTGTTTATGATCAAATAATTTTTTTTATTATTATTATTGAAACTCTTACAAATGATCATTAACCAGATTTGAAAAACTATTGTCGTTTGGAAAAATGGGATGGTATTTGTTCTCTGCTAAATTATAAATTCAAAATGAAAACTTTTAGAGAATAGAACAAAGGTAAAGAAGAAAGTTTGCAAAGCAAGATTTTAACATGAAAACCTCTTCCACTGTAAGAATGAGAAATAAGCACAATGATCTTTTAAATGTTCAAGATCCGTTATATAAAAAATAATTTTTATTTGTAAATTATCTTTTTTATTATATATATATATATATATATATATATATATTAACAAGCAGATTTACAGCTAAAAAATTAGTAATAAGAAAAATTATCTTCTGAATGTCTAAAGAAACGTCAGAAGAGTTTTTTTTTCCTTTCTTTCTTAAAAAGACTGAGAATATTTTTCTTACAATTAGAAGGTTTACATCAAAAGAATTAAAGGCGTGTTTAAATATAAGAAAAACAGAATTAAGGTTTGTTTTCCCAATATCGTGAGACATGCCAATGGAAGTTTTTCAAAGAAAAAAAAGGTTAATGAGTTAACATACGTTATAATAGAAATATAAACAGACACTAAATTATTAATTAAGCAGGAATCTTCCTTCTTCATATAGGAATTTATGATGTACAGTTAAAATTTTAAAGAGATTCAGTATAATGTTAATAATGCACTTTTTTAATACACTTTTAATTAATAAATAACATTTATGAAAAATTATAAAAATAAAGATAAAAATATTAAACTAAAAGTATAAAAATGAGACATACATTGTTTTTATAATTCTTAATAAATATATTAAAAAGAATGGGTTAAATATATTATTAGCATTCCTCTTATATCTTATTATCTATTATTTTAATAATTGTCCTGTTAATTTATAAAGTAAGCATTAAATAAATAGTACATGCATTTATTTATTATTTAAAAATAAAAAATCATCTTTATGTTTTCAATATTTAATAATTAAAATAATATATAAAAATATAAAGTTAAATTATATATAATTATATTCTTTTAATATTCAGACTCCAACCACCCACAAAATGTATGGCCCATCCGAACACACGCTTTCTTGAAAATTGACACTTAACTTCTTGAATCAAAATATTGAACGATACGAGTACGGTTTTTATGATAAATTGCTAAGTATTATTGGATTAAATTTAAAATTAATAATAGATTAAGATGTTTCGGTACAAAATAATTTTCAGTTTAGCATACAATAATTTATTTACAACATCACTTTTAATGGTAAAATAATTCAGAAGTTGCCTATATATAATTAAAGATTATATAATTACTATTAAATACTTGTGGGTCTACATTAATTTCGTGGTTGAAATAAATCAATAATGCATAAAATTAATTTGTTGATGAACTAATATGATATATATATATATATATATATATATATATATATATATATATATAATATCATTTGATTATAATGTACTTAAAGAATAGAGTAAAAATTTTAAAAAATATTACATTACAAATATCAAAATATTATAATAATTTTTAATAAATTATTAATTATTATTATTAATTACTTGAACTCAACTTTAAAAATTAAAAAGGCACATGTTTTGTTATTTCAAAAAGGGATTGAGTGGGGGGTTTGGGAGAGAAAAACCATTTCATTTGGCTGGAAGCTGGTAACTATTTATACTCACGTGCGTCTATTTGTAGTACCCAATCTCATAGATAATCTATATCTGGGGTTCACATGCATCATCGTCTTGTATGCAACTTTTATATTAGTTAACTGTTATGTATAATTGTCTATCTCACAACATGTATTATGTAATTAACAATGTTTCAACCATTTACCATTGACGCACAAGAGGTAGTATGTATGAACCATCTTCCGAACTTGAAGTAACCACAAAATCTTGAGCAAAATGCCACATCAGGTAATTACCAATTAATAAAAAAAGATAATTGGTAAAAGAATATAGCTATTATATACCATAAGTGATATTATATTTTATATAAGTTAATTTTAAAAAATTTAATATTATACAATTCGACCTAAAGAAAGAGGGAAAAAAATTATATTCTGTAAAGTTCCCAAAAATTCTAAAAGACAAACATGATTCAAAGTCACAAGAAACGGCTATGAATCTAATCTTAGGGTGGGTATTCATTATATGTGCATTGATTTTATTCTTAGCATTTATCTCTTTTGTACTTTTAGAAAAATGCTATTCGTAGTTTTAAAGCAGTGCTACGCGTAACCTGTGTTTTTCAATTTGCTTATGGATACCTACCGGACTTAAAAGTTATTTCTATCTTTATTCAAATTTATTGCTAATTAAACTCAACTAATAAATTCATTTGGATTAATTTTTTTACAATTTCACCTAATAATGTGAAAAATTCAATCCATGCTTCCTCGCATCATTTAAGAAATAAAAAACGAATGAAAATAAAATTGACAGAAAAGTAAGAAATTAAATAGTGATATAATGGGGGGAAAAAAGTATTATAAAAATACTATTACTTTTAACCAAAAAAAACAAGACTTTACATGTTAAGTAGCAAATAGGTTTGAAGTTTGATAATAAAACACTGTCCAACTATTTTATACAACTTATTTACACAATTTTTTTCCGAAATTCTAAACAAAATGAAATATTGTTCTGATCAATGAACGTCGTCTTAAATTTGACATTGAGAAGTAATTTTTTCCAGGGTTTGGTAAAATGCATCAAAATTTTATTACGTTTGGATAAAAGGTTTAAGGTAGCTAATATGAAAATATGACGGTGATGGGAAAGGCCAACGGTAGCTACTACGTCATAATCGAAGATAGGGTACAATGTTGACCAAGAGAGAAAAACAACTTATGTTACTTTTTTTTATTATTATTTTATTTTCTTCTTATCTTTCCTTTCTCCTCTTAAACCGACTTTTTTTCATATACTCTCAAATATAAAATCGCCTTCCAACATGAAAGGAAATATGTCAGTAATATTCTGACACATTTTTACGATACCATTTTATTATTATGCAGGGTTATGTGAATTTTATTAAATAAAAATGACCCTTATTGAAGAAATAAGCCTCGCGTTATTTAACGATACTCGTATAAATATATCAACAAATAAATGTTCATATCAATTTATGTTTGATAAGATTCCTCTATATAAAACATAACACCATTAACTTTAATAATACCAAACATTTTAAACAAAAATGAAAATATTAAACGGAGTTTTTGTAAGCAAAATACTTTAGTGTTATCGATTACATTTTTTTTAAATTAAGATATATTTATGTACTATGCCGACTATGGACGTGTTTCATAAAATTACCAAATAAAGTAGTTATTAAATTTAAAAACTCGTACACTACATAAAATTATATTTTTAATATTGTTATAAAAAAAACTATAAGATTCCAAAATAATTTTATTTTAATTAAATTAACTAAATAAGTTGGAAGTTAGATTAAGAAACTCCCCAAACATACTATATAAAACCTTTTTAATATTTTTTTGGCATGATATAAACTTTAATTTGTTATTTTTGCATGTCTTCATCAGTTGCTACAGATGAAAATAGGACTATGCCTGTCATCTTCAAAAGAAAGATTAAATCTGAAGAAATGGAGTTTAAGATATTAGAGTAAGGAAATGAGGTTCAAAACTTCAAATGTTAGGAAAACGATGTATTAGAAAAACTTGTCATTTTTCAGTTTTTTGTTTTAGTCGATGTAGTCCTATTATAGTTAGACACGTTTGGGGATGCAACAGATACCCATATTGTCCCACTTTAATTACTCGTAAGCCCAATCATTAAGAGTTAGGCCCAGTGGTAACCATAAAGGATCAGTCACAATCCCAATGGGTCGCTTTCTTTTTTCAACCGTAGAAAATACGCAATACGCGATGTGATTTTACAAATTCTTATTAATTATTTAAAAAGACTAATGTATTAAAAATAATAATAAATTATGATAAAAATTAATAAAAAAAATCATGGCCCTAAATACTATTATTACCTAAAATTTTGAAATAGATTCTCACATGTTGTCTTTTTTTTTTTTTTTTATCCTCCGAAATTGCAAAATAAGAGGGGTTCTTTTCTAAGAATAAGCAACTCGTAAATTAAAATGACAATTTCTAAAACAGCACAGAAGATATAACTAGTGGTTGATGATAAAAAAAAACAGTAAATTTATCAATGAGAAATCCAATATAGTAACTAATGTATTGCTGTTGGAAAAATAATTTTTACACTTTTTTAATAAAAAATTATAATTAGGATGATTTTAACAAATATTTTAATTCATCTAATGATTTAAAATTTATTTTTATTTATCATTAAAATAAAACAGCAGTAACCTTGACAGTTATCAGCAGTAGTTTGTTTTCTGAGAACTTTCTTTTCTTTTGGTCAAAGTTATTAGCAGTGGGAAAGCATTAGGTTTATGGCCCAAACTAAGCCAATCGAGTCCACGAACATATCATTAAAAAAATTCAAAACTTTGAACGTTTGTTTCAAAAATGATTTTTTATTTTCTATCCAAAGTTTTTGTTTTTTATTTATGGGTAGCAGCGTAGAGCCCGGTTTAGGAAATAGACAAAATCTTCATGGGATATACTTTTTGCACTTTTTTTTTCGCATTTTTATTTTAAAAATTTTATTTTTTTCCTTAAAATATCATTTATGATAATAAAAATACCTCTTACATAAGTTTTTGAAAGTAACTTTTATAATTTTATAAAATAAAAAATTTAAATTATTTTTAAAATAATTAAATATTTACAATTATTTTCAAAATAATAAATTAAAATTTTCGTACGTTTAATTATGATGCATTGTTAATATAAAATTTTTCACACTGTTAATAAATCAAAATACTTCGTAAATTTGATTTTAATATTATTTACGATAGAAATCAATGTATTGTTGAACCAAAGTATAAAATATGTTTATATTATTAGTGTATTTAAATTAAATTTATTTGTTATATACGATTTCTTTATTAAAAGATTGTAAACATTTTTTAATCTAAAAAGAAAACTAGTATTAGACATTAGAGTGTTGTTATTATTCTTATATTTCATCACGATAATACCTGTTGACTATAGTTAAACATTTAAGTAGTTATTAATGTTAAAATTCATCTAATAATACTTAATTATAATTTATTAATACATTATAAGAATCCGAGATAGAACATAACAAAATTAAAATATTTTATCAAACATATTTTTATCAATTTTTTATAATTTTAATATAATAAATATATATTTTTAATAAAATTTATTATTTTCAAATATTTATTGTAAAATTAAAATTAAAAAATTCATAATTTACATATTGGATAAATTATGGTAAAATCCACATTGAAGTTTTGAAAGGAATATATCAGAAACAAATATATTCTTCAATAGGTACAATGAAATAAGAGAAGCAAAACATACTGCACAAGCAAGGCCAGCCTTGCAAGGTTGCTTGGGGCCCAATCCAAGGAGCGGTAAAAGAGACTCACCGCCGGCCTTAAAGGAATGTCGGTTCACCATTCCTCCGTCTCACGTTCCACGGTGATACCGCGTCATCCTTTCATCACGTGCCACGTGTACCACGTCTTATTATACCAGCCAGAAATTAAATACTGGACAATTATAAATTCTATATTCTAAATAAATATCATCCATCAGATTATCCTATCAAGGTATAAGAAAAATTTATTAATTATAAATAAAACGAATTTATCTTTAATAAACTTTAATTAATCATCAAGTGTTAAAAAACACATTATTAACATTTTTTATATTTTGAATCCCTTTCAGAAAAAAAAAAAAAAACACATGTTTATCCATTTTCTAATTTTACAACCTTAACTCGGAGTGGAGAGGCTTAAGGACGAATCAGTCCACACGCGCCATTCAACTACGATGCACACAAGAAAATGAGGAATTCCATTAGCGGCCAAGCCGCCGCACACTACAACGTGTACACGCATGATATCTATCACGTGAGTAATAAGAGCAAAAAAATTTCTTGTATCATTATAATTTTTTATTAAAAATTATAAAGTATCACAAAATATAATGCGTTAATAAAAAATTTATTATTTATTAATTTTTTTATTAGAACTCAAAATGTGCAATGATTTACCCCAAACGAAGAATGATGTTGTGAAGCAATCACTATGCTGTGGCGGTAACGCTCTACGGTGCGAGTGAGAGTATTATAAATACCTAAGCCCTCTCCCCTTCCCCACACTCGTTGAAATTTCAACTCCTCTTAACCTTATCTTCCATACGCCGGGGTTCAATTAACTCCTCTCCTTCCTGTTCCATTTCCAATACCATGTGCGTTGCCCTTCTTCATCCTCAAGATTGCTTCACGGACAAAACTTCTCACCAAACAACAATAACCTCTGGCGCTCTCAGAATGAAAATTTCCAAACCCAACCCTAAGCCTCTTCGAAGCAATCGCAAGAAGCTAACCCATCCAAACCCGCAAAACCGTTCTGATCAGGCCCGGCCCACTTCCACCTCTCCCGTGAAACCGCAAGACAGTAACAAGCTAGTCATGGGTCAGGTCAAAATACTGAAACGCGGCGAACAGTTCCCCCAAGCGACGCCGAATCGGCGCCCAAAGACGGCAACCGTCGAGAAGGAGTTAAGTTCAACTTCGACTCTGACGGACAAACCGGACGGACCGTACGCTGGATATTCCATGTCGGTGATTTCTCCCTCACCAAACTCCGTTCCGTTACCCCTTTTCATCACTAGGAATTTTGCGGCTCTAAGTGACGCCACCAGCGAGATCCGCAAGATTTTACGGATCGAATTTCCCTAACCCTGGTAGTGAATGGGCGAGGATTTGAACGGAGGTTGTTAGTGATTTGGGTGTTGTAGCGCTCGATCTTCTCTTACTTTTCAGCGGGAAGGTGGAGTGCGAATCTCTAATTGTTTAGCACTTTGTTCATATTAGCGTACATACATACTCTCACTGGGATTAGTCTTCGTAGTTTTATATTACTTTTAAAATGTACTAATTTAGGTGTATCGTTGATTTATAAAATAGGCTTCTGTATATCTGTGTAATGCTTTCTAAGTATTTAGGATATAGAAGCATACGGTTATGTAATTTTTCCTGTTTCAGTTTATTGAATTATGTCTTTGTCTGATTATTTGCCTTCTTCCATTCATGTCATTCATTTATTTAGATGTTTAAATTCAGTTTTGAGAGGTTAACGAAACTTTCGTTTTTAATTCACTATTTGCTTTTAAGCATGGAAATGTATCCACATAAAAAAATTGGAAAACCAAGTTGAAATTGTGGTTTGTGTTTGGCAGTGTCTGATTCTAATAGAAGAATATGCACAAGTTTGAATCATAGTAGTCAATCCCGGATAGCAGTGTCAAAAACGCTATATAGCGGTAGCGGGATGACCGCTATTCTGAAGTTTTAATGCACACATATACATGCTGAAAAATATAAAATTAATATACAAATTTGGAACAAAACAAAAAAGGAAAACACAAATTAGAGAAGAAAATAAATAACAAAAAGCAAAGGGTGCAAGAACAGCCATTGTTTCTACTTGAAGCTTTGAAATTTGAAACAGAACAAAGTAGAGGAATTAAAACAGAGAAAGAAATAGAAAAACAGAGAGAAAAGAGAAGAAATGAGGAGAGAGGTGAGAGGAGAGGTGAGGAGAGAGTTGAAAGTTGAGTTGAGGGGCTAGGGTCTGCGAGAGGGAGGGAGAAGATTCAGAAATTGGATGCATGTTATTGTTGGGAATGGGATTTAATCCATATTCTGAAATTGACAATTGTTTTTAGTTTTCCAATTGTAAAGATAAGTGTGATCTCTCTTTTTTTTTCTCTCTGTTGCACCCACTCTTTCTCTACACACACATATAAAACAGGAAACTGAAAGTAGAACACTCCTTGTTCTTGATAAGTAGTAAAGTAGAGCACTCCTTGTTCTTGATAAGTAGTAAAATAGAGCGTTAGATTTCAATACTTGTAATGAGAAATTGCTTGGGTTATTAGAAGGATATGTATGATATTTCCAGCTGACCTTTGTTAATTTTAGAATATCTGTTTATCCTTCCAGTGGTGCATACTAGAAGGCTCAAAGTCAATCAAATTGCTCTGAAAATCATCATAATCCTAACACCAACATCCTTAAATCCCTCACGTTTAACCAAGCTTGAGGACCTATGGACTGTCCTGGCATAATTTTTAATAACATGGCACAAACTCCATTCCAATCAAGTCCAGCTCCAAATCCGACAACACCTGACTCTCACACTTTAAATCCATAAACTACTCTGCATTCTGCAATGTTTCCTCACCTGATTAGCCATACCAAATAGCTACAACGTATAATGAGCAGCTTAAATACATTATGAATAGACAAATACCCCCCTACAAGTACTATACGCTGAATGGGGGCAAGTCAATATTGCTCTTATAAATAAAATTACGAAATCACTAATGATGTGACAAGAGATGAAAAAAACACAATGTTTTTGGTTAAAATATTAGTGTAGTACAACAAGTATAGTCCTCTCTAATACTACTCATAACATAGTAAGGCTCCCAAAGCATTAAGAACATTCTACAATTTACGGGTATCTGTTGCTACTTTTGTCCATTGGTCTGTGCTCTGACTAGTTTTGGTACTCTAAATTGCCTTTTCTTACAACAGGTTGCTTTCCTTTGCACCCCTCTACCTCAGTGATTGATGACGATGACCTCCTCCATTCATGGGAGATAAGTCTTGAACTAATTTACAGGAACAGTAATGTCTATGCTGATTGTCTAACTAGAAAGGTCACTGTTCTCCATGGGTTTCCATTTAGTCACTTGTCCTCATTATCTATCTTTAATTTTGCATCTGACTTTAGCTGGAAGTTTTGCGTTGTTTTGTTTTGGTTGGCATCGCGTAAACTATTGTGTTTTGCGATTTTAGGTGTGAAAATTTGAAATCATAAAATGGAAACAAAAAGTTAACACTAACGTTTTGTAGTATAGATTGAAGTGGCTGATATCATGACTGCCTTGTTTATTGCAGTTGCAGGCCTGCTTGTCTCCAAAAAGTCCTGTCATATAGAGCCAACAATTAATGGTAACACTTGAGTTGGGTTATGAATGTAAGAGGCAGGCAGATCTTATGTTTTGTCTAGTGTATACCTCATCCAAACTATTATTTAACCATAAGCCTTTCAGGCCTTAGAGTCCGCATTTTCCCTCTAGTCATAAAGAGAATGACCAAGAGAATTTGTTAGATTGTTGGATCGTTTGTATCCGTATAGTACTGATGGATGATCTGATTCACACTGCTGTTACAGCTGCTTAGTGTTGGATTTCTTAAACCTGCATCCTGTTCTTCTTTTCAGTGTGATACAATATTTCAAGATATGAGATATTCTTCATGGAAATCTGCTGTGGCTTCAGCTGCAGGACAAGAGTGTCTGAGAATGGTTCTATCATATTGTATGGTTAATTCTGAATAAAAGGAATAATCTCTTTCAGGAAAGCATCCAAGCTTGTGCTAAACGTTGACTGAATTTCAGTCTTCGCTTGCAAAGAACATCCTTTAATCTGGTTGAGTAGACAAAATTGTCTTTTCATCTGACATAAGTCAAGCCTGTTTTTAGGCGACTCTGCATGCTGATTATGGTTTGCAACTATTTATATGACAATAAAAACCAACAAAATTGAAGGATCAATAGATGTTTGGCTTTTTTTCATCGTTGCATTTCGGAGTCATTGTGCCATAAGTTTGACTGTACCATAATTAAAAAGGTGTAAAATTATCTTATACTTCAAAAATACTGTTAACATTAATTAGTGTCTTGAATATCAAATAATATTTTTTATTTATGCAATATAGAATAAAAAAGTTATAAATCGTAAAATTTTTATTTATAATTATAAAAATTAATGTATTGATATTATTAAATTATATATTTTTTTATAAATTATCACATTTTTTTATTATGTAATGTAATATGAATTAAAATAAATAAATGTGTCTACTAAGGAAAGTAGTAACACAATTCCTTTTTTTAATCTCTAAAATGCTTTAAAGTTGTGATATGAGCTAAAAAAATGTATTTAATATCTTGTTTTTATTAAAATTACTATAAATCTTTTATTATATTTATTTTTAATTTTATTTGTGCAATACATGAATAGAGAGATAAGATAAAAAAAAAATAGATTATGTGATAATAATTATTTTAAAGGTAAAATTAAAAAAAATACACCTATCTTACATGTCCACTTTATTCTGGGATGTATTATTATATATTCTAAGATGTATAATTATATATTATGTCTTTATCAATTTTTTATTTATTACAATTCTTATAATAATACATCTCAAAATAAAGTGGACATGTAAGATAGGTGTATTCTTTATGACTATTATTTTGAAAAAAAAAATTGATTGAAGAAATTATTTTTCAGAGATAAAAGTAGTACAATAAATAAAGGTATAAAAAATGAATAATTAATACATTTAAAAATGAGTCTTTATTTTTATTATTTCAAAAAATAATATTAATAATTGTTTCTTATGAATAGAATAAAAAGAAACATATTTCAATTTGATATTTTAAAATAAAAATAATAAATTGTCATAATTTAATATATTGTTTATTTATTTTTATAATAATAAATAATTTTATTAATTTTAAAAATGTGTTAATTCTTTATTTTTTTTCTTAAAATATCTCTTCCTCAATAATCCTTAACGAATAAGGACACCAGATTTCTTAATTCAGCACGAACGCGATGCATACCGTCAAGTCGTTTTGACCTTCGACAAAGGACTGGCGGCAAGTTAATCCCTATAAACGAAGAATGGAAAGTAATAACTGAAGAATAATGATATTTTTGTTTTTCAATGACAAACTACTCATCCTCACGTAGAAAACGAATGAAAAGGCTTCAACACACTGTAGATGAAGCTACGTATGACTCAAAATGGAATGGCAAAGCAAGGCCACACGCAGGAAAGAATAATAATATATTAAATTAACGATAGTTTAAATCTTTTAGCACCATATCATGTTCAGCTTGAATAAGACTCAGATGGCTGGCTTCTCGTTTGTTGATGAAGATTTTTTCACTGTTTTTAAGAAAAATAAGAAAGGATTGGAGAATTTTCAGGAATATAAACGACTTTTCTCTCTTGAGAAATCACCATTTGTCGACATCTTTTATGTTTAACAGTGTGTGTAAACATTTTACAAATCCTTCTTGTAAACATTGTAACCAAGTTTTATTTTCACTGAACAATAAAGAGTTTAAGAATTAGTGATCTTTTTCTCCCTAATTGGTGTTTGATTACTCACTGTATCCGTACACCGTATAATTATTTAGCTGTTTTTCTATAATTACGCCGAAAATTAAATACAATTTAAAGGTTCGTGTTATCAAATTATATTAATCGTGAAAAAAAAATATCTGTTTACAATTAATCATTAAATTTTATAAGCTGATATTCATTTAGTTTCTTAAGGACCCAACAACAAATTTGCATATTGTTTTTTAACTGAATACGAATGAATAGAAAACTGACCCTAAAACGATTTAATTAATATCCCATTTAAATGTTTGAATATATTGATTTTTTTTATTTTGTGATGAATAAATTTCAACTATTTAAATAAATATATTTTAAAATAATTTTTTTAACAATTAGTTGCTAAAGACATAATGTGATAAGTTGTGAGTCTTTTAGACATAGTAGAATGATTTTATTAATTATTTTTAAAAGTAATAATTATTAATGAATTAATAAATACATTCTTATTAAAATCAATGTACTAATATAATATTATTAAAAAATTTGCTGGCTTACGAGAGATTTATAAAAGTGCATACAAAGCGATAAGGATGGAAAATAGAATGAAATAAAATAAAATCTGGTGTGATGAATTAAATTTCTGCACTCAAACTATAATTTAAAACTTAATTAAGTTACTTATTTTGATAATTTTTTCTCACACTTTTAATTAAAAATATGCAAATATGAATTTATAGTTGATATACACTTGTACATATATTTACTGTTTAATAATTTAAATTTAATTTTAGTAAATATTAATAAACATTCTTAAAGAATTATTTAATGAATAAGACCATGTTTTTATCACAAAAAAAAAAACAATAATTAAAAAAATTAACTCAACATATTAAATTAACTAACATTCTTAAACAGATGCCCCCAAATTAACTTAACACGATAAACTATTCTTCCGTTCTTTTATCCATCTATTATACAATTGTTTTATTTGTATAATTAAAAAAACATATTAATTACTATATTTTTAATTATTCCCACATTTATAACTTATCTTAAATATTTATACGTATCATAAGTAAAAAGTGGTCAAAATAAAAAGTTAACAAAATTTTCAACATAAATAAAAATATTAATTATTTATGAAAAATGAATAGGAAAAACTTAAAAAATTATTAATATTAATAAATGTTATAAATTTTAACTTTTTATTTAATCTCTCTCATTTTTTTAGATACTATTATAATTGGGGTTGGCTTTCAAAATTTGCGGTGCGAATACCAAATCCCAATGGCTTAGATGAGAGGGAGTGAGGGAAGCGTGAATTCGCCGAAAGGAAGCCTTGTCTCACACTCTTCCTTCCTAATCATTCACCCGTGTCCTCTTCTTCTCTCTCACCCCCTTTTGCCAAACTCTTGTAATCTTTTATTTTCAATTAACCTTACATCTTAAATGATATTAAATATATATTTTATTAAAATTTTTTTAATATAGAAATAAGAATATACAATAAATAATTACATATTATTATTATAAATTTTACTAAAAATATATTTTGATACATTAATATCATCATTAAATATTATTTTTTAATACAAAATTATTTATTAATTTTGACATATATCTTTTTTATAGTGTTATTAAATATTGCGATCTATAGGATGGGAGCCTGTGAACTAGAACCCTGATAATAATTAAAAAAATTCATTAATTTTTAATTTAAGGAATTTATTTATTTATTTATATTAATTTTTTGTTAATTTCATGTATACATTTACTGTCTTTTCATGTTTTTAAATTTTGAAAGTACGTTAATTTTCAATAAATTGAAAAAAAATAGTTTATTGTGCATATTAGTATTAGACGGGAAAAACGAATATTCATATCATATTTATTAATTATTTTTTATTTGATTGTCAAAAATATCATCTTACAATCTTTCACGTATAAGGTCTAGTTTTTTTCCTTTAATGTTTTTCACATTATAAAAGAAAAATCAAAGTTCATGTATTAACAAAAATTCAAGATTTAAAATCTTAAAAATATGAAAAGTAAAAAACATCTGCATGAGATAAAAATAAATAAATTTTAAAAATGCAAAAAAAATCATTTGACAAATTTAGAAAAATCTTGTATATTAAACTAAAAATTGGTACACGTAAATAAATAAAAATAATAAAATTAAAATTTATATCATATTTCACATTAGCACAAATACTAATCATAACTTCATTGGCTGTTTTCATGAAATTCATCATTTTTGTTTAATTTTAAAGTAGACAATCAAAATTTCTTATTGATTAAAAGTGTGTTTAAAAGTATACTTTAATTGAGTATTTATTAAATAGTTTTTTATTATAAGATAATCTATGGTATAAAATTGACGATAAAATTACTTAAAACACGTTAACATAACTTACAGGAGTTATATATATATATATATATATGTATCATAAATTTTCTACGAGTTCTTTTTAATGTCTCACAAAAACAGTTTATTCACGTTAAGGAATATAATATAAAATAATTGTTTTAGTCTGTCTAAATTAGATACAGATTTTTTTTTTCAAATAAATTATTTCTACTCGAAGCCAGATAAAATGTGCATTTGAGATAATAAAATATATTTGCAAGTCAATTTTATGTCTTATTTAACTAGCGTAGTTTTAACCTGGTTGAATGAGTATCAAACATGAAATGGCTTGTATATTTAAAACATGATTATGGAGTTTTTTAAATATAAAAACATATCACATAAAAAGGATTTTTTTATGTAAGAATGAAAAAAAAATCAACTATTAAATCTTACAACTAATATTTGAAATTTAAAATCACACAAACATTTAAAAAGTTAGTGACCATTTTAAATTGATTATATAATTTTAATATGTTTATAATCCTAACTATTTATGTATAATTACATAACTCAAATGTATTTTTCCTAAAAAATGTAGTTGAATTATGATTCTCAATTTATCTAAAAATAACTATCTTATTAGAAGTTTCCATTTTCTAAAATAATATATTTATTTACTTTCTTCGAGTAATTATAATATTTTTTTTTCTGAATTTTCACTTTAACGCTTGCTTTTTCTCGGGTTAACATTGGAATTTGAATATAAAAAACTATTTGTTCTTTAAAGTAAAAAATAAAGAATGAATAGCTTAATTTAAAGTAAGTTAAACTTACTTTAATAATAAAAAATGAGGTTATTTTGTTTTATTTTAGATTTGATATATATCAGGATAAGAAATCAGATACATAATATTATATTTTATTTGCAGCACACCGCTCAGATCATAAAATTTATATTTTAAAAAAATTATCATATATTATTAATTAATAAAATATTATAAATAAAATTAATTTTGAAATATTATTTTATGATCTTGCAAGACGAGCTTTAAAATTGTTTAGGCGACGAGTTAAATCCGAAAAATTGAAGGGAAAATTACGAGTATAGCGCAGTATTACTTAATGGATTAAAAGTTGTTCTGATTTTGTTTGGTATGATGTTTTACTTAGCTTACTCTTTTCCATGACATGCAACCGTCTCAGGCATCACTTTGGATCTTCTTCTCATTTCTCTGAAAGCTTGTGTTGTGGATGAATCCAGAGATTTAATAATAACAGAGAATGATACGAAGTTGAAAAAGAATAGAAGATAAAAAAACTTGATGATTTGAGGAATGCAATGGGCAATGGGCAATGGGTAAGGAAAAGGAATAATAAGTAATAAATAAATATAAAAACGGTGGTGGCATTGCCACATGTCAGGAGGTGGGGTCCGTGGCTCCAAAAGAGAGTGAGACCCCACACTGCCCACACCCTACCATCACTCAACCCTTCCTTTCTTTTCCTTTTAACTTGCAACGACGAATCTACTCCACCTTCCTCCTTCCTCACCGCCACACGACACAATCTCTCTCTCTCTCTCTTTTATTATTACTATATAAACCAATCCTTCCCCTTATCTTCATCTTTTCCTCCAACACCTCCGCCACCCCTCTCTCTCTCTCTCTCTATCCCTCATTTACGCACACACCACACCGATACTCTCGACAAACTGTTATCCACCAAGGGCGAGGAATGAGATGACGATGAACGACGAGTGGGTGAGGATGGCCATGATGGACGACACCGTCGTCGTCGACCTTCTGCTGCGTCTCAAGCACACTGTTTCGTCTAAACCTCAGCTTATGCCTCTCTCCTGGGGCCTCAAACAGCCACGCTCAAGATCGAGGCTAACCGCCGTCGTCTCTCGCTGCGACGCCGCCGTTTCAACCAGATGCAGCCCAACCACTCCTCTCTCCTGGAGCGACGGCGCCTCTCCTTCCGCCACCGCCGATGGTTACGAAGACTCCAGCCGTAACCATCACGCCGCCAGATCCAAGGTTCCCTTTCTTTCTCTCTCTACCGCTATCTGTATCCATTTGTGTGCGTTTCTCTCTCTCTCTCCCCCTCTTCTCCTGATCTCTGTTGTGTGCGTCTGAGTCCTTTTATTTGACCGAAATACCCCTGGGAACTGCACGTAACTCTCTTCGCCTTTGGAGCAAAGTGGTTGTTCCCGGCGGTTGAGATGGCTTCGTGTGCGTGAGGGAACATTCTTGCCTTCGGAATGACGTTTCCTTTTGTTTTGACAACTTTGCCCTTAATCTCTTACCTCACAGGCCAAAGGCCAGTGCCGTTTTTCGTTTCCCAATCGCACATCGTTTTCGATTTTCGCTGACCTCAGATGCTGACGGGCAAATCTGTCAAATTCTCCTTTTATTTTTCTTTTTTTCTTTTTTCTTTTTTAAAAAACGAATTATCCTCCTGTCACTGGCTATTTAGTTCTTGTGCATACGGATGGAGGCTGGATTATCCCGTTTTGTGTGTTTCTTTTCTTTTTCTATTTTTTTGGGTTAAATGTTTTTATTTTTCTTCGATCTTCACTTGTTTTTATTATGAAATTGTGGTGACGGAAATGCCCTGGGATGTTTGTGGGGGCGTGAGGTCAGCACTGGGAAAAAGAGCTCGGCGTTTTGCCCTCGCCTGTTTTCGTTTTGGGGGGTACCGTCTGTCATTCTTAGTTAGGCTATTGATTCTGCTGACACACTTTTTTCTATTGACAATGTGAAAAAGAAAAGAAAATGTCTAATTAGACCTCTTGGGCCAATTTTTGTGGCAGCTATAATTAGAATCAGGGATCCTTCTTGTATTTATTATTAACATAGGGAAAAGTCGTTAGAAATCGCGATGAGGAGCGTGGGTGTTTTGGTCAATGTATTAAATCTTGGGCTTGTGGGTCCCTTTGGTTCAGATGGTGATAGGTGGTGCAGTGCAGGAAGGTTTGCTTCGTTCAAGTTAGTGCCCTAAGTGGCGCGCTGCCTCACTGAGTTCGCCGATTCGCTCCAACTGGGCATGGGTTGGGAATTCACTTCTCTAACCTTACGCGTAATAGATGTTTTTAATAAAATGAATTAGTTATAATTAAAATCAGAAATCGTTATGGCTGTGGCAACAGAAGCATTGGTGTGGATAGGGGAGTTTCTCGTGTTGAGACGTGATAGAAGGAAAACAGCACGGCACAGTAGCATTATGAGTTGGATGGGGTATCAGTATCACGGGGGCGATAGTGAAAGAGGGGGGGGGGGTGAGGGGTAGTTAAAGTTGGTGCCTTAAAATAGGAAATTGAAGTCCTAAACATTAGGATTCGGTTGGGTGCGAAGCGGGAAGAGACAAGCACCACGCGGCATCTGCGGCCCTTGGCCCACTCCACTCGGGGGCGTGCAGCCTGCTGTGCTCAATGCCTTATTTTGTTTTTCTGAGCTTAACAAATAAATATTGCAATTCAATTATTAATTTTATAACTGATACGCTGGCTCACGTGATTCAAGTCACGTGACAAGATCATCATCACGTGCCTATAAAGCCGTAGCTTCAAGTGTGAGTAATACGCCAGCTGAGCCAGCTGAGCTGTCCTCTACGGACCAGTTTTGTGCGGTTGTAACATTAATAATACCCAAGTTGCTTTGCTAGTTTAACCACTAAGTATTATCAATGGGCTATACGTGGGCCTGAGGGTGGGTGAGGGTGTGGCCACATCGTTGTCATTGACCTGAGACGTGTCTCGTCTCATTGCACTGATCCATTGGGACGTGGGTTGGATAGAGTGTTTGGTTTTCATAATTTACTTATTATTAATATTTTTATACTATACAAGCTTACCCTTTATCATTTTAGCTCCATCCCAGCGTCATTGTCTTCGTGATATTTGTACCCTTTCATTGGGTTGATAACTTGTTATGTGACACACTCGGTCTGACTCTTACTTTTTTAAAATATAAAATAAAATAAAATGTTGCATTGCGATTTTTAGCTACAAATTTTGTGTATTTTTGTATTCTTTTAAGTCAACACAGATCCCATTTCTTCCGCTATGTAAACCTATTTTATGACCGATTTTATTTTCATTTCATGCCACTATTTTGCTAATCCTTGATTGATGACTGGAAAAAATTTTCAGGCTACTGCTACAAGTGGATATACTGGCAACTCAGCCTCTACCAAGAGGTGCAGAAGAAAAAAGGTAAAGCTACACTTTCTTGTTTTGATTAATAGCCACCTTTATTTTTTTTACTTCAAAATTTACGAAGATCTTAAGTATTCATCTTGGTTAATGATTTCCGGGTGGAGAAGCTGTTGGCAATGGCCTCTCTTGCCTATTAATGAGTGTTAATCATGATTCTTTCTGCCATCCTCTAGACCTTTGCAGAATTAAAAGAAGAGGAAAGCTCCCTGCTAAAGGAAAGGATATATTTGAAAAAGGTATCTTCTCGTTTTTCGCATATATTCGCATATATTATAATGAGCATGCACGATCCTTTATATCATTATTGTTTTGTAGGAGATAGCAACTGTTAATGCAAATTTTGAGGCACAGAGAGCTAAGAATGAAAGTTTGAAGAGAATGAAGGTATATGCAAATGTCTTTCGCTCTTATTATTATTATTATATGTATGTAGCGTGAATCACCAATATTTATTGGATAAAATGCCCGTTTTGTATCTTGCTTAGCTCCTTTTTTTTTATATATATATTTTCAGCTTGATTTCGGATCGAAATCTCATAGAAATCCAAGTTCAACGTCTATCGAACAGCACTGTACATACGCTGGTCAACCCCACCAGAGAATAGTATCTTCGGAGGCCCTCACACGTGCCATTCAAGATGACACTCAATCACAAGCATCAGAATCTAGGCCAAACGGGATAGAGTCAACTGGGGAAAGTTTTTTCTTGATACCAGATCTAAATATGATGCCGTCTGATGATGTTTCTTACACTGACGTCCTATGAGGAGTTAGTTGAGACCAGCTTGGTTTCACCGCTTAGAACGCAGGACTCTTGGAACAGTTGCACTACGATATGTTGTGGAAACAGCTCTGAACAATGTACAGGCCGAGTGAGCATTTTCAAGGCTCTATAATAGAAACAATTGGAAACATCGTGCATGAGAAACATTTCTTGATCCAACTACCAAATGAAAAGAAGTGGTTAGTCATATATGAGAGAAGTTTCTTAGTACGTTTAGAGTAGAGATATGCCAAGGTTACAGGTTCTTCCGATTCTGAAATTTCTTAAAAGGGGTAAAGCCTCGTTTCCGATTTCAGAATTCTCAAACATGTAAGGTGTACCATTCTTTCGTAGGATAAATTTCTTGGATTCCCTTAGAAGCCATTTAAATTAATCTACAATTTTATTCATCAATTCCATGGTTTGCACCATGATGTTTTTTAATCTACAAATTCGTGTCTCGCCTCTTCGATATAATATAGAATGCTTCTTGGTTTGAGAATGTGTTGTCTGAAAGGCATGCCTCTCCTGGAAGTTGAAGGGACATAAAGATGATGTCGGCCCCCACTGTATACGGTTTTTTGTAGGATTTTCCGGCAGTGCCATGATGGATGTGGGTAGTCGTGTTGTGCCAGATTCGTGGTGAAAACCAGATCCTGGGCCCATAGGTCTCATACTAGAAGCAGAGAAATTGCTGGAGGACTTAACTAATTACCCGTTTGGTACTATTATTCTCTTTGATAAATGACTCACCCTCCCATGTCTAAACAATTTTAGAATTCCTGGACAGTGAGATGGGGATAAAAGGAAACGCACGTCCATGAGGATGAACATAGCACTAGTGGCCCCATACTCTGTGGAGCACAGGGGACTGCGAACTACGGTTATTTGTGGGGTTTGGTGTTTAACATATTTATTTGTCATTTACCCTTAAGATCATATGCCCTCCTTTGAACATAAGAAAGGGGTGAAACATCTGTTAAGATTTTGAAGAGAATCCTGAGCCAAGACTATAGATCATGTTCCTTATGTCGGTTTAAAAAAGCCTGCTGAATGCTTGATCGTTCCCGTGCATCAGTCGATGAGTTGTTTTTTTTTTTTTTGCCGTATTCAACTTTGTTCACTGGTTGTGAGCCGGCAATTTTCCTTTTATTAGGGAGGCTAATTTTCGTTTCTTCTCTGCACAGTTTATGGGTACCCCTACAAACTCAAAAGCTTATGGCCAAGCAAGACAAGATCAAGGACTTTGCCTGCAAACAGTTTCCAGGAAAGAGGAATTTAAACCCATACCTTAACATAAGAAATCCGGAATAAAAAAAGAGCCAAAGCAGTGGTAACTTTCTTCTAATCTAATATTGGTCAATAAACCTGTGCCTCTGTTCTTCTTTCGCCAGATTTGCTGCCTGGCCAGAGTTTTATGTGTATAATTCATAGTAAAAGACAAAACAAAATGAAGTACAAATTCAACAATCAGAATTGCAATGAACTATTCTATATGTATTGGAGTTTCAGCAATTATTAAATTTTGAAACACTGAATCCGTCCTTTAGATTATACTAACTTAAAATATGCGGAACAAAAATAAAAATGAAGGTACGTGCAGCGACAGTATGAACTGGAAGCTGGTGATGATGAATATTGTTGCTGGCATCAAAGTCTTCATTGTACGTGACTTCAGGGCAGTTTGTCTTTCCTGCTAAATATAAGCCATCGAAGATGTAAAATATTTGTTAAATTATTGTTTCGTTGATTCGGTTGATTATTGTGCGATGAATACAGATGGTGTAGGTGGAACGTTGAATACAACAGTAGGTCATAATAGCAGTTAGAGAAGGAAATACTTGCGGCAATTACTTAGCCAAGTTTGGTGTAACTTCCAACTACCCCACCATTTTCTAGTGTACCTTCCTATGGAATTCTTCCTTTGTTAATGATGTGTTTTATGTGCATTGACCATCTTTGGCCTTTGGTTCCCTTTTTTCTTTTTAAAGTATTTAACAGTGAACTTGCTCGCCTTACGTGTGTGTACAATATTAATAAATAAGAAGAAAAAGAATGAAAACAAGCATTCTTAAAATATTAAACAAGAAATAAAAAGTATTTTCTTATAAAAAAAATTTAATGTGTTATTATTTTTTATTTATTAAAAAATATTTTAAAGATACTCATCAGCGTGTTCTTAAAAAACTAGATAAATATTTCCCTGTTTAAATTTTAATTCATTTAAGTGGCATTCATTTCCAATTTGGTCTTTATATAAGACAACCTTTAAATTAATATTCCTATGTGAATAAAAATTTTGACAAGTGACTAAAGATGTACGAAGCAAAGTTAGATGGACTAAAAGTTGCGGATGTTCTGCATATTTAATGCCTTGACATTTTTTAAAATGTTAACATTTCGTTTGGATGGTAGAGTGAGATAGAGATGAAATAAGAATAAAATGATGTAATATTTAAATTGATAAAAATAAAAATGAAAGAAATTTAATAATTTTATTTCATATTTTAATTTGGATTAAAATATAAAATACTAATATGTTTAAAATATGAGTAGACCGTTTTGTCTCTACATCAATTGTGAAGAAATTCATTGGGTTTTGTTTCTCTCTCACCTTGGAGCTGCTACACAAGGATGCCTACACGTTTCTTTCACGAGAAATGGGATGTTTATTTAATTAAGGGCAAAAATATAAATAAAAATTTGAACCCAGTTTTCTCACTTCAACAATATAAAATGCTACGAAGGACTGTCTTAAATTAGTGAAAGAGAGAAACTTTGCTTAATATTAAGCTCATAGACTGGTCTATTAATTATGGTCACAATGGAGGAATCTTTTGGCATTCTTGATTCAAAACAAGGTTTTCGTTCACAGGTGGATGTATTTGTATCTTGGGGTGTCTAATAATTGGTGACAAGACTAACATTGATGTGAGTTTAATGTTGTTGAATGAAACGACACCGAAGTATCCAAGTTTTCCCTGCAGAAAAAGGGTAAAAAGAAAAAGAAAAACACAAGTTGTTTTATTAACAGTAAAGTATCCTTCAAACAATTGTATTATATACACACAACAACTACAACTTCTCTTTTTTAAATATCTAACCTTTTTTTCTGCCACATCTTTAGCCTTTATATTATTAAAAAGAAAAAAGAATTAAAATTGAGTATGAGTATCACTTATAAAAACTAAAGTGATCACCATTATAATTTCTCTTACTAACAATCTACCGTTTAGTTAGCCTAATTATTATAATTTTTAATAAAAAATAAATTGTTAACAAAGTTATTAAATTTTTATGCACATAAAATTATTTATTAATATAATATTATTATTATTAATATAAATTTATAATATTTAAATTAATAATCCAGTCTCTGAAAAATAATGTATATATCAACAATAATTAGTAAAATTAGTAAAATAAGTAAAAAAATTATTTTAGTAGTGTATTATCACCTTACTTTTTGTTCCAATAATTATATTTATATAAGATTTTCATCTCCTTTCCCTTTAATTTTTTATAGCTCTTTATCCTTTTATATTATTTTATCTATATAAGTTTCTTTTTATTTCTCACTTTTTTTTCCTCGTATACTGAAAAATGAAATATTTCACAAGCATTATTCTTTTTGCTATATGGATGAGTGCATCACGCTGACATTGAGTCTACAAACCGAAGATATTGAATTAAGAATGATTTTATTCATTTGTTTCTTTAATTTTCTACATATACGGATCAAATTCAGAAAATGAAAGAGCTAGGCTCCCCCAGTGCAGATCATCGTCATGTATATTTACCTTCTTTTGTGTTGCGAATCACGAAGTTGATAGCACGTTTCAGTGACTCCCCGTAGAGGAAAAACATGTGTGTCAGAGTAAATTAAATAAATACTTTCAAAAGTTTAAGAAATTTCCAGTAAATATTATTTTTTTATCCTACTTAAATTTCTGTTAATTTACCCTGTTATATAATACTGCATACCATTTTTTATTACAAAAATCGTTCCTAATTTTTTACACTATTATGTGAATTAAAGGAGTCAAACTAATATATATAAAAAAGTAGAATATTAGGTAAAAGATAATTTATCCTAACAAGGAAGTTCAGGCTCGATGACAACGAAATCAAATCTTCTTGAATGAGGAGCATGAGCAACATCAAGTGACGCATCCCTCCAGATCACTGCCAAAAATGGAATTTGGTCAGATAGCTAAAGGCAAATGCATGAAACATAAAAGGGGGAAGGATTTAATTGCATCAAATTTCTTAACACAAACCAAAAATAATATGCTTTTTTCTTCTCTCTTTTGTTGGAGTTTTCACCATTGCCTTTTATGGATGTGAGTGAGCACTCTGCAAGATTTGCTGATCCTGTCGGTTGAAATACTGAAAGCACACAAATTGGCTGGAGAACCCACTCCAATGTTATTAGTATGATTCTAATTGATGATTTGCTTACCTTTCATGTCCAAAGAATATTAAAATTATAGGAAAGAGAGGTGGAGATAAAAGTGAATTACACAAGAGTAACACTGTTCTTAAAATAAATTTACATTGTAATTTCTACAATATATTTATATATAACGTGAGATAAAAATAAATAATATAATAAAAGTATGGTAAAAATAACATCCAATCCATTAAAAATATGGCAGTGGCCCCTATATCTGTGTAACCGCGGCCTATGGTTATGCGGTGGGGACCGTAGGTAGTTGAGTTTGCGTTCAGAAGCGTAACTTGAACCAAAGAATAAGTAAATAAATTTAAAAATGTCTTGTAAATATTTTAAAGATTAATTCGATCTTATGATATTTATAATAAATATTAGATTAACTTCGCAATTTAATTTAATCACTATTTTACATCATGGGAAAAATTATACTCATATGTTATGTTAAGTATTTAAAAAAAATAATATTTTTTTAACTGTTTGACTGAATTGAGAAATGAGTCAAACTAAAAGGTTAGGAGTGAACATCCATATGATTTAAAAGGAATCTATGGCAGGGTTGAGACTTTTATGTCGGTTGAAAAAGGGGCTACCGAGCCTTCTTGCTTCGATGGAGAGGGATTTTTTTCCGATGCCATTTTCAACATTTTCAATGGTTGTTGGTTGGCAATTACACTTTTAAGTAATAAGTGTAAGTGAATGTTCATTCTTAATTCTATGTACAGTTTATGGGCCCCTCTCTACTACCTTCCAAAGCTTGCAGCCAAGAAAGAGAAGATCAATTGCTTCCTCTAAGAAATTTCCAGCAGGGAAGTTTAAACCTGTCCTTCATCAAAATCTACATGGAATAAAAGGAAAAGAGCAACAACAGTAGGAAGCTTGCATATTTAATCATGATCACTAGTGAAAGGCAAAATTTTCAAACAAAGAAAAGAAAAGCTACAAAAGATAAAAACTTTATTTTCATTTTGAA